GACCCTCTGTGTTCCCCAAAACCATGTGTCTCCCTCTTTGCAGGCTAACAGAAACATTTCCATGTTAGATGGAAAGGCTGTGGGAGGACCTCAGCCCCAGGAGAGACTCGGAGTCAGTGGACAAGGGACCCAGAGGAGGGAGATGGGACACTGGGGTCACAGAAAGTTCCAGGACATAAGCCCCAGCTCTGCCACTGATAGCCTTAGCTAAGCCATCCAGTCTCTCTGGGCCTCAGTACCACCACCTGTCTCCCAGCGTGGTGGGGGGCAAGAGAGCAGGCCCAGCACAGGGCAGGGTGCTTAGAAGGTATACTCGGTAAATGATAGGCAGTGAACAGCGGCTGTGCTTAGTACCTAGGTCTGACCCTGACCCCGAGGAAGGGGCTCGGTGGGGGAGGGCCAGCCTCAGCCTTTTCTCTCCCCCCACCCCAGGCGAGCGCTCTCCGCAGTCACGTTCTTTCTCTTCCCCATCAACGTGCTGGTGGGCGCCGTGGTGGCTGCCTGGCGAGTGCTCCTCTCTGCCCTCTACAATGCTGTCCACCTTGGCCAGATGGACTTCAGCCTGCTGCCACCTCGAGCCGCCAATCTCGACCCCGGTAGGGCCGCCGGGCAGGGGCCAGGAGCAGGGGTCGCTTAGGCTGTGCAAGCAGCGAGGGAGGCTCTGCCCCGAGCTAGTCCACGAGGGACTGTGACAGGTGTGGGCGGGGGAACCCACGGGCAGCGCAGGCGCCGTGCGCTCAGGGGGCCGGGTGCGCGCCGGCAGGCTGCTCAGGACACTTCCGGTACGTGTGTTAGGGGTGGCGGCGGAGGGGGGGGGGCTTCCTCCCCCAGCGCTGCCGTCCTCCACCCACCGCAGGCTACCACACATACTGCAGCTTCTTGAAGATCGAGGCCAGCCAGTTGCATCCAGCCACGACAGCGTTCTGCGATCTGCTTCTGCGAACACAGCGGCCCCAGCCTCTCCGGGGCCCCCAGGATGGCCTCAGACCCGGGGAGGAAGAAGAAGGTGGGCCTTCCCCCTGGGGATGGCGGGAATTGAGCCCACCTTCTCTGAGGGACGAGGCATGCCCCCGTCCCTGCCACACATAGGACGTATGTACGACGTACAATGGAGTGAACCGCAGGAAAATGCTCACTTCCTCTCTCCTTCCGCTGCCTGCGGGAGGAGGGAAGTGAGCATTTTCCTGGTGCCTCTCGAGGTAATTTTTTTCCTTGATCCCACCGCACACTGTCTCCCTCTGCGCGTTCCGTAAGAGTGCACACACACACACACACACACACACACACACACACACCCTTCTCACGCAGAGAAGGAGAGGTCTTCCCCTTCCTTACCGCCAGGGAAGTTTGCAGTAGGGAGGTGGGTACCGAGCTGGCTGTCCCAGCCCTTCCTCCAGTCCCCTCCATAGAGCTGGCCCCTCTCTCTTCTGCCTGCCCCCTGCGGGACAACACCCTGAGCCTTTACAAACACCCCTCTGCGGCCCACACTTCTCCCAACCTCCCACCCTATGAGCGGGCCCCTGGAGCCCCGGGGTCACCAGCCTCCCCAACAACGCACATGAGGCTTTCAGACTGCTCAGGTTTGGTGCCAGAGGGGTTGGCTGGGTGTTTGCTGAGTGACTCACAGGAAGTCTCTCCCTCTCAGGGATACAGCTGCTGCAGACCAAGGACCCCATGGCCAGAGGAGCAGGGCCCAGGGCCCGCCAAGGCAGGGCCCGCTGGGGTCTGGCCTACACCCTGCTGCACAACCCGGCCCTGCAGGCCTTCCGGAAGACGGCCCTGTCGGGGGCCTAGGTCAACGGAGCCCAGCCCCGAGGGTGCGGGAAGCCACCGTGTCCTTGTTTGTGCTGGGGTCCTCCCCTCCTCCCAGCCCACCCCCCCCCCCGCGTCCCCGGCGCCCCCCCCCCCCCCAACCAGGGCAGCCTCTCTGCCAGCAAGTTCCCCGGATCGGCGACCAGCACCAGAAGCCAGGGGTCGCTGTGGTCGGATGGAGGTCTGCCCACACCAGGAGCTTCCCGAGGGCTCTGGTCTGCACCCTTCGTCTTGGGAAGCCAGCAAGGGCTCCAGAGGAAGTAATTGGTGGTGTAGGCTCTTGGTCTGGGAGCCAGTGGAACCGGGGAGGCCACATCCAGGCCCCTCCCCATGCTGGCAATGCCACCAGCCTCAGCCTCACTGCGGTCTTCTCCTGCCTGGCCTTGGTGAGGTTCAGCCCAGAACAGCTTCACGTTCCAGCTCAGCCCCACCTCAGCCTTGGATCTCACCACCACGGAACCAGACACAGGGCTTCCTCTCTCCTCCAGCTTCCCCCTCTCCTCTTGGGGGGGCCTCGTGCCTTCCTGCGAGGCAGCCCAGGAGGAAGCCATGGGCTCCTACTGGGCAGCAAAGTCATGGCTCAAAGCAGGCCCCACACCGAGCTGGCCACACTTGAGAGCCTGATATTTTTGCAACTGGTATGCCTTTAGATATTATGAAAGGGGTTAGTGTGCTCCCTGTAATAAACTTGTCCCTGAGAAACAGTCCTCCGTAGGAGGAGGGTACGTGGGGGAAAACTGCCCGTTCTGCCAGTAAATCATGTATGGGGCTTGGGTGGGGTCGGGGTATCCTGGTCACATGTGGGGCTGGGTACTCCGTGCGGGGCAGAGGAGAACCCATAGCCATATCCTTTTGGGTGGTAGAGGGACTGGGGACCCTAGGATGCCACCTCTGAACTATGTGGACATTGGCTTTGGAGGTAGGACTTCTCCTGGGTCCTTGAGAATGGGCAGGACTTAGGGAAGAGAGATTTCAGGAAGACGGAAGCAATATGAATAAAGAAGCGGAAGAGGGGGGATGGGGCACAGGGTGGAGCTGTCCTAAAAGGAGTAGACCCTGTGTGCAGCCGGGAAGGGCAGCTGAGGTGGGGGTGGGGAGGCGGGGGGGGGGCCCCCCTTCCCTTGCTGGGGACTGGTGGAGGTGGGGGATGGATGACTGAGGGTGTAGGGTCCACTGTGGGCTTGGTGAGGGTGGGGGAAAGGTGGCCACTCCACAGATCTGGGTCAGCGGGGCCTTGAGAGATGTCTGCACAACCTCTCTCTTCACCCACATTCCCACACTCCACTACGGCCTCAAATACACTTGAAGCTAGGGGTGGGGCCAGGGAGCTCAAACCCGCCTTTGAGGCTGCCCCAGAGGGGCGGGGGAGGGTGGGTAAGAGGGCGGGCTCTGATCCCACTGTAGCCCATTGAAAAATGTCTTTCTGACCCAGTGTTGGTGACCGACAGCGTCACAGGGCTGAGAAGGCAGACTGGGTCTCTTCCCTTAACAAGGAAACAGTCACAATAGAGTGTGATCAGACTGGCACACTGGACACCCAGGGCTGTGTGAGCCAGAGGAAGGGACCCCATCCTTGTGGGGGCCAGGGGGTGGGGCACCCAGGAAGGCTTCCTTGAGCCAACTTAGCCAAGTGAGGAAGGGGGGAAGGGTGTCCAGACCAAAGGAACAGCATATGTAAAGATGTAGAAGATAACACATCACAGACTATTACGGGAACAATTAATTAGCAGGTCCAAGAGAGTCACGTGGAGGGAGGGTGACATCAGAGAGTCAGGCAGAGGGACAATGAATGGCTGGCTGGGGAATTTGGACGTCACTCTGAGGGTACAGGGAGCCACAGATGACTTTGAAGCAGGAGAGTGACTGTTTCATTCAGAGCACAGCTGTTCCCCAGCTGCCCCTGACTCAGGTCTTAGGCCCAGGTCCCATTTCCAAAAGCCAAGCTTGCTCAGCTGTGAATGGGGGCCAGAGACATCAGGGATCCAAGATGAGTTAGGGTATCAAGCCTTCGATAATCAGAGTCCATTGGACCCTTAAGCATCCTACTCGTCCTTTGTTTTCTGAGGAAACTGAAGCCCAGAGATGGGCAGTGATTTACCCAAAGTGGCACAGCACGGGGGACTTGGCTCCACCCTGCTGCTTCCCACCAGATGTGCAGACATCCCTGACATGTGCTGCTGGTGACATCAGCTCAGCAGGAGCTGCAAGCTGCTGAGGGGGGCCGGGAGGTGCTGCGTGTGGACCAGGAGGAGGGGGAAGGGAAGCTGGCCAGACTCCTCGGCCTCCCTGCCTCCACTTTGCTGGGCTCAACAGTCCTGAGTGCAGAACCTGGGAGGCCGCAGAGCCTCTCCCACAGGGTCGTGTCCCTATGTGTAGCCCCCTTCGTTCTGGAAACGGGTGGGGGGGGAGACACATCACTGACTCGGCACGGATGTGGGGATTAGTCTCCAGGTTCTGATTCCATCTACATGCTCCCCACTCTAAGAGACCCTCAGGCCGCTGCCAGGCCCTCGCCACCCCCCAGGTCAGTCGCCGATCCACCTGCTGTGTGGGGAAGACGCCCAGGGCCGACTTCTCCTCCAGAAACACCATTTCCTCTTCCTGGAAAGCACCGTTGGTGTCCTGGGCTCCCCCCTCAAAGATGCTCTCTTGTTCTCACTCTCTGGGTGTTTTTTCCTCTCCCCCCTTCTCGCCCCTACCCTGCGTCCCATCTCCCCCTTTCTCTTTCCTCCCCATCTTGCTTGTCTGTCCCCATTTCCTCTCCATTCCTTAACATCCCTTCCAGGAATAGGACCGGGAAGGGGGGGCCACAATCCAGGTGCTTCCGTTCCCTGCCCTCCCCCCCAATGCCTCCTTAGGCCACTGCTGGCATGAAGCACTGTGCAGGGCCATGGACCCAAGGGAAGCCTCTGGGATGCTCGTCAGGCCCACAGCCCCGTTTGTCCTGTGGGCTCATTTGAGGACAGGGATGATCTGCCCTTCACCTCAGCTTGAGGCCCGGCGCTGAGCCCACCGGCCCAACCCCTTGTGCTACCTGCTACACAGTCTGTGTGGGCCTCACAGGCCCCGTCACACGTGGACAAGCAGGCTGGTTGTCCTGACCCTCCGACTCCCTATCCTGTCCCCAACCGGGATGGGGGCGGCAGGGGAGGACCCTAGATTCAGACAAAATGCCAGGCAGACGCAAGGGAGCATCAGAAATGCTGTTTATTTCTCGGCCGCCCCCTGGGACGGCTAGCCTCTTTGGAGGGGCAGGCTACAGATGCATACTTGGAGAGAAAGGCAGGATAGGTGTCCGGGGTGGAGGGGCACAGGGTGGGAGGAGATGAAGGCCATCCCGGATCCTCCGATCCTGTCTGAGATCAGGGCACAGACTCCCGAGCCCCCAGATCATCAGGGAATGCCAGGAGGCAGCGGGAACTCAAGCGGGTCACCAAGAGCCCAAAGCTATGCCAGCCACCGCCCGAGACCCTATTCCCTGTCTGCTTCAGGTCACTTCCCTGCCAAGCCCCCGGCCCCAACCCTGTGCCCCCAGCCTTTGCCAGCTGGTCGGACCCAGTGCCTGCAATTCCATCGGTAGGGCTTCCCCCGGGGGGTTAGGGCATCGCCCTGTTAGCGAGCTGCCCTGATGGGGGAGCACGGGCCATGTGGTTAGCAGCAATCAGCACCGCACACGGTGAGTATGGGATCAAATTCTGGTCTAGTCACTAGCTTTGAGCAAGTTTAGAAGTCGGGGGTGGTGAGGGTTCCAGAGGAGGTGAGAAGGGAGGTAGGAAGATGTGAAGTCCCCCACACCGGCCTTGGGAGTCGCCACCCTCAGACCCAGGTGTTGCTTATTATAAGGGACATCCACAGAGTCAGGGGAGGGAGGGGGGGTGGGGACGGGGGGGGGAAGGCTAGAAGGAAGTGAGGAAGAGAAGGAGGAGGCTCTGGCCTAGTAGGAACAGGCCCGGGGGCTGCTTCCCAGGGGCCCCTCCTCCCACTGCTGCAGCCTCAGGGCCCCCCGCGCGGCTGAGGTAGATGATGACGACGTTGTCCTCTGGCCCTGAGGGCTGTACCTCGTTGTCAACCGTGTAGCAGCCCTTACCCTCAGCCGCTTTGCCGTGGAACCTGCGCCCCAGCGCATCCTCCCCACCCTCGCCCGGTGTGGCCAGTGCCACGTTTACTGAGCTCTCCGCACTGCCTAGCTCGTTGGTGGCCAGGCAGCTGTAGGTGCCCTCCTCCAGCTTGCCAAAGTCTGGGATGAGCAGGCTGCCGTTGGCAAAGGCCTGGAAGCGAGGCCGGCCGCCGGCGGCCAGGGCCCCGGGCAGGGCACGCCCGTCGGCACCCACGTTGGGGCTGGTGATCTCCACGGTGCCACCGGGCGTCTGGATGTGCCAGTGGAGCTGGGGGGCCGGTTGCCCCTCCACGTCGCAGTGGAGGGCCAGCACGAAGCCCGGCCGCAGCTCGGCACCATCCTGGCTGGGCTGGTAGGTGAGCTGCACCGAGGGCGCCGAGCAAGGCAGCGGCAGCAGGCGGTTCAGCGGCGTGCCCTTGAGCACGTGGGGCGAAGTGCAGGTGATGTTGTCTTGCTCCGGGATGGACACGGCCGTGGTCAGGGCCCACGTCTTGAACCACACGATGCCGCAGGTGCAGTCGAAGGGGTTATCGTTGATCTGCAGGTGGGACAGAGCGGTGAGAGGCGCGAAGGTGCCTTCGGCCAGCGCGTGCAGGCGGTTGTGGTTGAGCTGCAGCGAGCGCAGGGCACGAAGGCTGCGGAAGGCGTCCCGGGGGATGAAGGTCAGCTCGTTGCTGTCCATCTTGAGCAGCTGGAGGGCACTGAGGTTGTGCAGGTCGCTCCAGGCAAAGTCGGAGATGAGGTTGTGGCTGAGGTCCAGGCTCCTGAGTTGGCCCAGAGGGGCGAGGGCACCGGCGGCCACCACACGGATCTCGTTGTGCGCCAGCCACAGCGACTGCAGCAGGGGCACCTCCCGGAAGGCGCCCTCTGGCAAGCTTGGCAGCCGGTTGGCCGACAGGCTCAGCGTGGTCACGTTGGCAGGGAAGCCGGGTGGCACGGCCTCCAGGTCGCGGTAGGCGCAGTCGGCGATCTGGAAGCCGTACTTCTCGCCGCAGTCGCAGGGCTCAGGACAGGCCTGCGCTAGGCCCAGGAGGACCGCCCAGCAGAGCAAACGCAGCTCCTGCATCCTACCTCCTGCAGAGAGGGACACGCCACCAAGGTGACCCCAAGGGCCCGTGCAAGGCACTCGTCCCTCTCGGGACCCCAGCCAGACAGAGCTCTTCCCCCTCACAAGGCCCTGCCCCCACAGAATCCGGCTAAGACCCAACACCACCTAGCCCCCCTGCCCATTCTACAGAAGGGGAAACTGAGGCCCAAAGAAGGGCCAGGACTTGCCCGAGGTCACGCAGCCAGAAGGGGCGAAGACGGGACGGAAGAGGACCCCAGCTCCTCCTCCAAGCAGAGAGCTCTCCCTGCCTCGGCCAGCTCCGAGCTGATTTTATGACTTGAAATCCGTTTTCAGCCGCCCCCTCCCCCAGCGCTCCACGGAACCTCCCTCCTGCCCTCCCACATCCTGGCCACAGTCCCTCCCACCGGAGCCCCCCATAGGTATGCTTTGCCCCGGCCCAGACAAGGCCCCTTGTGCAGTGCACACCGCCCCCATCCACCCCATCCGCCCCCCTCCCGCTCCTACAGGCTATGACCACAGCAGACACCAAACCCTTTCTACAGAATCACACCCGTGGCCTGTTCCTTTCAGACTACGCCAGGCAGCTGCCTAAATAAACCCCCGCCAGGACCTCTCAGCTGGCCTGGGGGAGGCCAGTGGTTCAACCCAAATGCTGCCGGGATTTCCGGGGATGCGGTTGCTAGAGGGGCAGACGCCCCCTGGACACATCCAAATAAGGGATTGTCCCAAGCACCCCGAACCAACGGGAAAGTGCCAGGCAGTCGAGCCTCCGTGCCCGGCAGGCCTCCCCCTTTCCCGCTGGCTTACCTTCAAACTACTCTTTCTTAGCCAAGCGGATCCACTTCTAAGATGGGACCAAAGACCAACAAAAGACAGAGTTGGCCCAGGGCAGGCTGCGGGGCCACCGGGCGTGCAGGGAGGATGCGGAGGCTGGAGGAAGGGGCACCCTGGTTCCTGCCCCACCTTCGAACCGCTCGCCCGTGCCCGCCCTTCCCCAGACAGGGTGCCTGGGGCCTCGCTGAGAGCAGGCTGCAGGAAGGGAGCCCAGACAGCCCGGACACTCCCTCCTTCTAGCAAAACAACTGCTTCTCTGCAGCAACAAGGACCCGTGTTTCATAAGTGACACCAGAAACTCGAGGGGGAAGAGATGCCAAATTTTTTTTCTTTTTTTCCCTCTCTCTCACTCACTTTTAGCAGCTTCAACTTCCTTAAAGACACAGCACTAGCTGGACAGCACCCAATAAAAGATGGGGCTAGGAGGATTTTTATGGAGCGAAGAGTGAGAATTGAGTCTCCCGGAAGGTGGGAAACTTCTAACCTCGCTTCAAACAAGAGGAAAGATGGGGGGGGGGGTCTTCTCCAAGCTGGGGCCGTATGAGTGATTGTGTGTGCACATGCGTGCGACATTTCTAGGCGTGGATGAGTGTGTATGTGTGTTTGTGTGGATGTGGGTGTGGGACTGTGTGTCAATGTGTGTGTTTGGGAATGTTTGAGCGTGTGTTCGTGTAGGTGTGAGACTGCATCGTTTTGTGTCGTCTCTGTGTTTGTCTGGTGTATACAAGCGAGTGTGTGTATTTGGGAGGGTGTGTGTGTGTGTGTGTAGAAGTGTGTGTCTTTGTGTCCATGTGTCTGTGTGGGTGATGCTGTGTTTCAATGAAAAGCAGAGAAGGCCCAAGTGTATGAAAACCCCACCAGACTCCAACACCCCAGCGAGAAGCCAAAATGTTAGTCCTGGTTTTGTGAGAAAGCACATCTTCCTCGTCTGTGTCAGGCCTGCCTGCTGGCTCTGAGGCTAGGCTGCTCTAAGCACATGTGGTCCAGGGAGGTCCCCAGGCGCCAAGGCGCCAGACCTGGCTCCCCACTTGGCCGGGAGGGGAGAGATCAGGGAGGCGGGCAGAGGTACGACAAGGCACCGAACCCCGTAGCAGAGAGTCTTGGACACGAATCAGTTGGACTTCAGTTTCCCTGACTGGGATTCTGAGAGACCCAGGTTCACACAGACAGTTCCATCACCCAGGACTGCCCACCCGGCAGGCAGAGGTGAGGCTGAGGGTCTCGCTCCTTCCGGAATATTCTCTGTGTCCTCCCACACTGCTTGAAATCCCACCACTGGAGCTGCCTGTCTGCGGAGGCTGCACCGCTCTCTGGGCCCCGCTCTCCCAGCACTAACTGTGTGGGAAGGACATATGCCTCCAGGGTGAGGGTATATCTGAGCTTTTCCCCCCGAACAGGAGGGCCCGGAGGAGTCAGAATGGGGAGGAGAAAGAGGCCCCAGACAAGAGAGTCAGAAGAGCAACCAAAAGATGAGAGAACCCCCTCGAAAACACTTTGTGCACTGGATGCTTTTGCCCTCCACAGCACAAGCCTACTCATATCCCCTCAGCCCTCTGCCACAGTCTTCCTTTTCCTCCTGTCCGTATACCTGGCTGAATTCTGCTCAGCCCTCTCCTGACCCTCCTGGCAGGGCCAAGGACAAACAGGTACCCTCTTTGGATGAAAGCATCCCCGGGGAGCCCTCCATCCCAGCTCACCGTGTCGCCATCCCTCTGTCACCAAGCGGGGCTGCAAGTACCGCGTGCCCCCTGCAAAGCCCCTCAGTCTGATACTGAGAATATTCTCGCAGTCCGAGTTCCGACCCACTGCAGGCGAAGCCTTGTCTGGCGGCGGCGTTGCTGTGTTGGGGAATTGGGAGGAAAGTCCTGAAGTCGGTAGGCCCACTAGAGGCTGGAAGCACATACATCGGGAGTTCAGGTAACCAGAGGGGAGACTCAGCGACCTCAGTGCCAGTCACAGAGGGTTTCCTGGGGGAGGGGGCGTCGCTGTGCTGCTGTACCCGCCTACACCGCCTCACCCACGCCAGGGGGCTGCCTCTGAGGCGCTCTCAGGAGCCCACACTCTCCCCCCGGCTCCCCCTTCCAAAGCACACAGGCCCAGAGTGCGAAGATCCCGCGCCCCCCCCTCCCCCCCCCCCAGCCCTCAGACCCTCCTGCTGTGGCTGGAACCTGGCATTTCAGGCTTCCATTAAACATCACCTCATCAGAGCAGCTCTTCGGAGACCACCGAAGCTAAAACAGGCTCCCCCCTTAATTGTCCTCATAGACCTCCCTGGCCTTTCTTCGGAGTTCTTACTGTCATCTTTCTCGATGACGCTTGTTTTCCCTGGAGTTGTCTTCATCTAGGTGTGGGGAAGGGGGGCTTGTTGTTTTGGGTTTTTTAGTGCTTCTCACTAATTCAATTCCCCACTCTCCCCCAGCTGGGTGAATCTCCTTTCAACGTAAATAAACCCATAATGTACTCTATCCATTTTATCTTGGAGAAATCTCTCCCTGAGCCTTCTGACCTGCTCCAATTCGTTTAAGTTTATTTATTTTTGAGAGAGAGAGAGAGAGAGAGAGAGAGAGTGCAAGAGCAAGTGGGGGAGGGGCAGGGAGAGGGGGAGAGAGACAGAATCCCAAGCAGGCTCTGGCGCTCTCAGCACACAGCCTGACACCGGTCTCGAACCCACGAACCGTGAGATCATGACTTGAGCCGAAACCAACAGTCGGGCACTTAACCAACTGAGCCACTTCCAGTTCGGTTTATTTGGACCCTGGCTGCGCTATAGTCACACAGAGATGGCCCACCTCCCTTGCTCAGGGGTCCATTGCTCAGCTCTCTGGGCTTGGGCCTCTTGCTTCCTGGATCCCACATCTTCCCCTTCTCAGTTTACACTCTCGCTTTGTTGGAACCCGCCCTCCAGTACCTTCTGGAAAAGGTTTGTAGGAGAGGTGTTGTGGGACCTGCCTATCTGAAGACTCTTTGTCACTCTGAGTGATAGTCTAGCTGGGTAGAGAACTCCAGATGGAGATCTCTTCCCCAGAACTTTACAGGGGCCCTCCCTTGAAAGCCGTTGCTCTGTTGTTGCTTATAGGGCTGGTGTGGGGGGCTCCGCCACTGTGTTGGCATCAATTGTGTGTGTGCCGCCTGGGATTTGTCTTTCTGGAAGCGTGGAGGTGATGATTCACTACGCTGCGCCTTGCTGAGGGCCTGCCCTTCCAAATCAGAAGTTCATGTTCTTCAGCCCTGGAAAAGTTTTTGATTTACCTCTTTATGATTTCCGGACCTCCATTTTCTCTGTTCTCTCCTTCTGGAACCCTAATCAACCAGATGTTGTGCCTCGTGGAGGAACCCCTAACGTCCTCATCTTTCCCCTCCTTTGTCTCACTTCTGTATCTTCCCGTCGCTGTCTCTAGGAAGTCTCGTCTATGTTACCATTCTGCCCTTCTAATGGAGTGTTTGATTTGTAAGCTTTACATTTCAAAGATTCCTTTTAATTTGCTGACTGTTCTCTTTAATATATGTCGTACCCAGTTCTTGTTTCATGGATACTGTAGCTTATTTCTGTGAAGATGATGATACCTGTCTCTCTTTTCTGTTTAGGCTTCCTTCTGTCTGCACTGCCTGTCTCCTTGTTTGCTAGCTTGTTTGGACTCTGTCTTTCCTATTCGCGGTTTCCTCAGGTAATTCACTCGGCAGAAATGTAGTCCTATGTGTTTAATGTGAGATCCCTCCACTAGAGAGGAAGTGCACTGAAGGCAGACATCTCATCTCCCCAGTTGCTGTTAATTTCTGGCACAGAAAAGATGTTCAATAAATATTCCTTGACTCGATGAATGGGCCAACTGGGTGGTCATCAAATGCCAGAGATGAAAATACCATAGAGGCCACCTCCTCTACCTCCTCATTTTACAGATAGGCACTCAGGGTCCAGACAGGGACAGGGACGTGCCCAAGGTTACACGTCCCCAAAGGGGCCTTTGGATAGGACATCTGAGGAACATTTCACACAACGTGGGAGAGCCTCACTCTTGTCAGGTGGTTGAGTACGTTACTAGCCTTCCTGAAGGAGGGGAGCCCTTGCAACCCCGTTCCCCACCCTCGAAGGCCTTGATGACAGCTGAACACTAGTCGGCCCTCAGAACCTCACTGTGGAGGAGCCATCGGGGGCTGAGGGCAGAAAATGTAACAGGGACTCGCCTATCTGGGCAGAACTAACTCTACCTGCATTGGTCACTGACGACTCTTGCCCACTGTCCAGATCCCACCCCTGCCTGAGGGTGCAGCCGTGCCCCGTCTCCTCCAGGAAGGATGAAAAGACAGGGCTACCATGGCCAAGTGGGCCCCAACCCAAACCCATCTGAGCCTCCAAGGTACTTGACCACCCCTGTATACCTGAGGGAGGGTCGCACACAGCCCCCAGCTATTCACATACCTCCAAGGATGGGGGCTTACTACCTCCTAGGCAGCCCCCTCTAATCTCTTCGTAGCTATCGTAGGCTGAAAATTCCTCCCCAACGGCCCATCCCACAAGAGATAATGGGATCAGGCGGGAGGCGAGCCTGAGGTTGGCCCTCCTACCTCCTCGTAGCCCAGGAGCTCCCTGTCGGCAGCCTGGGCCACCATCTTCCCAGTCCTGGCCTCCTCTGAGCTGGGCTCAGTCCCCAGGACTGGAGAGCCCTTCTCAGGCCCTCAAACCCCTCCACCATCCCTTGATCCTCAAGAGCCCCACCGCAGTGGAAGGAAGAATTGCGGAATGGGGAGGGGGCGAAGAGGGGCCAGGTTTGGGAGCCCTTCCTGCCTACCCCAGCCTTGGCTCCTGTGGGCCTCAGTAGTTCATCATAGAATGACCAACTGTTCCAGTTTGCCGAAGACCGAGGGGGTGTTCCAAGATGCCAGACTTTTGGTGCTAAAATCCTGACAGTCCCAGGCATGCTGGTCACCGGGGCAGGGGACGTGCCCGCTTCTTCCCACAGAGGTTTTCCTTCCTGCTCCCTGTTCTGCACCCCCTGCCCTTGGCAGAGGCCAGAATTTCTCTTCCCTTTCCTCCGCACCCCCTTCCACGGAGCTGCTACCCCTCCCCAGCTGTGGCTGCTCAGCTTGTGACTCCTGCACCCCAAAGGGGCCTCACTCCCGCTGACCAGGGGGCTGCTGGCGCGGCCACGTCAGCTTTTCCTGGAAGGCCAGAAAAGATCCCAGAGAGAGAGAGAGAAAATAGAGTGAAAGGGACAGAGCGCGGCAGAGAAAGGACTGGGGAGGAACTGAGACAGACACGGGAGTGAGAGAAAGCAGGTGCTCACTGACAGCCAGGGCTGGATCCGAGGTAGAGACAGGATTCAAGATCCAGAAAGAGCGAACGAGAAAGAGGGTCCGATGGGCCCTGAAGCGGGCTCCATGAGGGAGGAGACAGTGGGGGGCGGGGGGGGGGGTCTCAGTCCCACC